GGAAAATCGATCAACACCGGCGCTTGATATACGTACACCGTAATGGGTACTTTTTCGCTAGCACCCTGAAAGGTACGTATCAGTACTGTTCAACCCCGTCTTCAAATTACCTCAGCAAGTACGGTGATGTCAAACCGTGCCTGGGTTTCATAATCCAGAATTTGGTTGTCTTTCAGTACCAAGAAGATAATTTTGGTCGTACTCATGTTTCCAGGTGGTTGTAAGTACCGCATTTCGAAAATATCACCGGCGTTCTAAAAAATGTGTACTTCGTGATCGTACGTACTCATAAACTTACCGGAGCTCCTTCTATGGTGAAAGTGATGTTAGCTAAGTGTCCTTCGGCACTACTTATGGTGTACTCACATGAAGAGTTTTTTTTGGTTATGGGTACACCTTCCTGGGGGATTAATAGGAATTAATTGAGTGTTGGTACCAAACTAAAAAAATTTACCGGCATGTAGCAATCCTCTGCTTTTAGTACCGGCCCCTCACTGACTGTGGCACCAAGTTGGACTTGCCCACTTGAAAGAAGGGTAAAAAGGGCGAAAACTACAAGTTTATTCATTTTTAACGCGACTGAACTAAAGAACTCAATTTTTACTACTCTCGATAATTGCCTCATCTGTAATCTGGTGGATGTTCGTTTATCTCATAATCGCTAAGTGCGATAGCGTTGGTTTAGAAATTAGTCAGTCAGAATCAAGCGGATTTTTATATTTAACAAATATGTATCTACATTTTGTTGCCATAAAATAGAACCAAAATGGTACCAGTGATGTATGATTCTGGGTTTATTGCCTCGTAGGCGGTGACATTGAACGTTATCTGGCCGTTGGGTTCGTCGCTATTGATCGGATCAATAGTGATTAAACCACTCTCGGAATCAATGTGGACGTAACCAGCTAAAAAATTCGATGATTGAGGTACTTTGGTTCAAGTACTTACTGGGATCATCAACGCTGTAGTTGATTTCGTTGTTAATGTCTGAATCATCATCGATAGCTTGAACTAGTGACGTCTTTAAAATAATAACAAAGACAATTTGTGTAATCTAGATGACAGTGAAGATTTTACCGTGGATTGTTGTTTTGCTACGGCTATGATGCCTGGAAATTGGGTCCAGGTGGGGGGTTCGTCGGCTGAAACTAAGGTTAAGTACTGGTGAAAGTACCCATAGCATGTTTAGTAGAAATATAATTACCATAGGTAAAAAGAATGAAGATTGACAGGAGAATAGATTTCATTTCGGTGTGTGAAGATTTGAATCTGAGACTAGGATTTCGTAAGTCCGGACTGGGTTAGATGAAACACTTAACTGATAATCGGGATAACAAATTTTAAACTTGTCGTTTTTTCTGTAATGTTATAGATAATTTATTTGTCACCATCCAAAAATCCAAATCTCGATAAATCCAGAAATTGAAAAATTCGAGAATCGAAAAATTAAAAAAATTTAAAATTTAAAAATCGAAAAAGTGCACAATCAAAAAACTGAAGAATCGAAAAATTGAAAAATTGAGAAATTAAAAAATCCAAAAACTGAATTTTGAAAAATTATCAAATCGAAAAATTGAAAGATTGATAAATCGAAAAGCTCAAAAAGACGAAAAATCGAAAAATTGAAACATCGAAATAGCATAAAATCGAAAAATTAAAAATTGAAAAATCGGAAAATTTAAAATTAAAAAAAAGATAAATCCGAAAAAAATGAAAAATCGAAAAATTGGCACATTGAATAGCCGAAAAATCGAAACATCAAAAACTATATTTTAAAAATTCGAAAAATTGAAAAATCGAAGAACTGAAAACGAAAAATCGGGAACTTGAAAAATTTAAGAGTCGAAATGTTGAAAAATCCCAAAACTCAAATATCGAAAAATTGATTAACAGAAAAATTGAAAAATGGAAGACAAATTTAGCAATCTAAAAACTGAAAAATCGAGAAATCGAAAAATTGAAGAATCGAAAACTGAAAAATTGAGAAATTAAAAAATCCCAAAACTGTATTGTGAAAAATTGGAAAATCGAAAAATTAAAAACTCGAAACATCGAAAAATTGGAAGATCGATAAATCGCAAAGCCGAAAAGTTGAAAACTCGAAAAACCGAAGAATCGGAATATTTAAACATCTAAAAATTGAAACATGAAAAAATGGAAACATCAAAATATCGAAAAATTGAAAAACCAAAAAAATAAAATTAGAAAAATTGGAAAATTTAAGGTTAAAAAAAATCGACAAATTGAAAAAAAAAACTGAAAAATAAAAAAAAAACTGAAAAATTGGCACATTGAATAACAACAACACAAATCGATAAAATCGATCAAAATCTCGATAAACTGAAAAATTGAAAAATCAAAAATTTTAAAAATTGAAAAACCGAAATATCTAAAATCAAGAAGTCGTGAAAGCGAAAAATCGAGGAATCGAAACATCCAAAAATTGAAAACTCAAAATTTTAAAAGTTCGAAAAACTGAAAAATAGAAAAATCGAACAGAAAATCGAAAAATCGGGAAATTGAAAAATTGAAGAGTCGAAATGTTGAAAAATCCCAAAACTCAAATATAGGAAATTGATAAATTGAAAAATCGAAAAACTGAAAAATGGAAGAAAAATTTAGCAATCTAAAAACTGAAAAATCTAGAATTCGAAAAACCGAAAAATTTTAAAAATCAAACATTGAAAAATTAAAAATATAAAAATTCCATAAACTCGAAAAACTGAAAAATCGACAAATTAAAAAATCCCGAAATCGAAATCTCGAAAAATTGTGAGGTCGAAGCACCGAAAAGTCGAGATATGGGAAAATAAAAAAATCGAAATATCTAAGCGTCGAAAAGTCAAAAAAATCGTGAAATCGAAAATTTACAGACGTCAAAAAATTGAAAAATCGAAAAATTGGAGAAACGAAAACAAATCGAGAAGTCGAAAATTGAAAAATTTAAGAGTGAAAATGTTGAAAAATTTCAAACTCAAATATCGAAAAATTGAAAAATCGAAGAAAAATTTAGCAATCTAAAAACTGAAAAGTCGAAAATTCGAAAAATTGAAAAATCGAAAAATTTTAAAAGTTGAAAAATTGAAAGATTAAAAACCTGAAAATGCGAAAAATCGAAAAACTGATAAAATCGAGAAATTGAAAAACCCCGTAATTGAAATCTCGAAAAATTGTGAAATCGAAACATCGAAAAGCCGAAATATGGGAAAATCAAAAAATCGGAAAACCTCAAAGTCGAAAAGTCAAAAAAATTGTAAAATCGGAAATTTACAGACGTCAAAAATTTGAAAAATCGAAAAATTGGGGAATCAAAAAAAAATCGAGAAGTTGAAAATTGAAAAAAGTTGAAAAATTGAAGAATAGAAAAATTGAACAACTGAAAATCGAAAAATTTAAGAGTGAAAATGTTGAAAAATTTCAAAACTCAAATATCGAAAAATAGATAAATCGAAAAACTGAAAAATCCCGAAATTGAAATCTCGAAAAATTGTGAGGTCGAAACACCGAAAAGTAGAGATATGGCAAAATCAAAAACTCGAAAAATTTAAAGAGTCGAAAAGTCAAAAAATCGAGAAATCGGAAACTTAGAGACGTCAAAAATTGAAAAATGAAAAAACTGGAGAATAGGAAAATCGAAGAACTGAAAATGGAAAAGTATAGAAATCGAAAAAATGAAAAAGTAAGAAATTGAAAAATTCCTAAAATTGATATGCTAAAAACTTGAAAAATCGAAGTTTTGAAAAATCGGATCTCGAAAAATGTTAAAAATAAAAAAAATATTTTTTTGTTAAATAAGTATTAAAAATTAAAAAATAGGGAAATCGAAACATTAAAAAAAGTAGAAAATTGAAAAATTAAAAAAAAAGAGAAAAACGAAGAATTGAAAAAGTGAAGAATCGAGAAATTGGAAAATTCCAAAACTGAAATCTCGAAAAATTAGGATATCAAAAATTGGAAAGTCGAAATATCGAAAATTTTGAAAATGGATGGAAAATTTAAAAAGTCGAAAAATTGAAAAACAGAAAAATCGATTAACTGAAAATCGAAACAAGCGAGAAATCGAAGAATAGAGTTGAAAATGTTGAAAAATCCCAAAACTCAAATATCGAAAAATTGATAAATCGAAAAACTGAAATATCGAAGAAAACTTTAGCAATCCAAAAACAAAAAAATCGGGAAATTGAAAAATTTTCAGAATCGAAAAATTGAAAAATCAAAAACGTGAAAAATCGGAAATTTGAAAAAATTAAAAATCGAGAAATTGAAAAATCCCGAAATTGAAATCTCTAAACATTGATCGAAATATGAGAAAATAACAAAATCGGAAAACCTAAAAGTCGAAATGTCAAAACTTGAGAAATAGGAAATTTAGAGACACCACAAATTGAAAAATTGTCAAATTGGAGAATTGAATATAAAAAAAGTCGAGTAATTGGGAATCGAATAACTGAAAAATCCCAAAACTGAAAAACTGAGAAATTTGAAGTTGAAAATTCAAGAAGTCGAAAAATCGTTGCACAATTTTGATTTTTTTGCCAAAACTCGATATCTAGGCTAGAAATTCAATACAGATTCATAAACCTATGTTAATTTTTGACATTTAAATAACATTTATTATTCTTAGCTTAAACACGAAAAGTAAAAATTGAGGCCCAATAACATCAAATCAAAAACCATTCGGATTAGTACATTTTATTAATAAAAAACCGTGATAATTAAAAACTAAATCGTAATATTAACGTATATATATATTGATCATCAATACAAGTCTGTCAACTTAACGTTATCTGCATTTCCATTCAAAAACCGTAATACTTTTCGAAGGAATTGATAAACACAAGTGTTTTTTTGTTACGAGGCCGACACGAAAAAAAACTTTTAGGAAGTCATAACGACACTATTTTAACTCCTGTAACAGAGATAAGATAAATCAGAAATAGTCAAAGTATAATATCAAGCATTCGTAAAACCTGATTAGGAACGAGATTCACTCAATAAAATTTGCTAATTACATACATTTATTAAAAAAATATTAAAGGTACCACCTTATTTACAAGTATTGAGAAAAATATAGCCGAAGCAGTACCCAAAGCCGCACTCGCCGAATTTGGGTTGTTTAAGGTAACAATTATCGACAACGAATCTTCAAAGTTTTCATTATTGACCCCTTTGGCGTGCAACTGAAACCCAAATTTTACTCATTGGAAGAAATAGTACGAGAAGTACCTCCACCACGAAGGTGTTCCAAATCCCGTCACTGTCATGCACCTTCGTTGGATCAACGGTTATATCAAAAGTCTCTTCACCCACACCACTTGAAGCTGACAGTTGAAAAAGTGACTGGAAGTCAGGGGTGCTCAGACTAACAGAAAACGCAGAATTTTGGTCCTGTGTTGTTGTTAGTTAGTACCATTAATTTTATAATATTTATTTAATTTACTTGATCTGGGTCACTGACTGTAAAGTTTGTAACAAACACACTTGTGGCATTTTGAGGTACCGTGACTTCGATTTGCCTAGGCCCTGGTACTTTTATTTTTGGCGGATTGTCGTCTATATCGATCACGTTTACTTTGAAAGACTTGCCAGCTACAGCCCGATTCGGTGCTTCGTAATATTTCGCCTCCACATAGACGGCAAAACTGTGCAGCATCTCTCTGTCAATTGTTGGTACTACAATGTCCAAGGTGTTTATTCCATGGCCTAATTTTAAATGAGAGAATGTGGAGCGAATAACGCTAATACTAATGTTACCGGGAGCATGTCCACCGCCTGCTGTACCTGATATGGTCAACGTCTGCAAGACAATTTTACTCGTTAAAATACTTAAAATAGTCATCAGAGTACCGTATTGTCTTGCTCTTCTTCAATTTCCACAATGCTTGGAAAATCGATCAACACCGGCGCTTGGTATACGTACACCGTAATGGGTACTTTTTCGCTAGCACCCTGAAAGGTACGTATCAGTACTGTTCAACCCCGTCTTCAAATTACCTCAGCAAGTACGGTGATGTCAAACCGTGTCTGGGTTTCATAATCCAGAATTTGGTTGTCTTTCAGTACCAAGAAGATAATTTTGGTCGTACTCATGTTTCCAGGTGGTTGTAAGTACCGCATTTCGAAAATATCACCGGCGTTCTAAAAAATGTGTACTTCGTGATCGTACGTACTCTAAACTTACCGGAGCTCCTTCTATGGTGAAAGTGATGTTAGCTAAGTGTCCTTCGGCACTACTTATGGTGTACTCACATGAGGAGTTTTTTTTGGTTATGGGTACACCTTCCTGGTGGATTAATAGGAATTCATTGAGTGTTGGTACCAAACTAAAAAAAATTTACCGGCATGTAGCAATCCTCTGCTTTTAGTACCGGCCCCTCATTGACTGTGGCACCAAGTTGGACTTGCCCACTTGAAAGAAGGGTAAAAAGGGCGAAAACTACAAGTTTATTCATTTTCAACGCGACTGAACTAAAGAACTCAATTTTTACTACTCTCGATAATTGCCTCATCTGTAATCTGGTGGATTTCGTTTATCTCATAATCGCTAAGTGCGATAGCGTTGGTTTAGAAATTAGTCAGTTAGAATCAAGCGGATTTTGATTTTTAACAAATATGTATCTACATTTTGTTGCCATAAAATAGAACCAAAATGGTACCAATGATGGATGATTCTGGGTTTATTGCCTCGTAGGCGGTGACATTGAACGTTATCTGGCCGTTGGATTCGTCGCTATTGATCGGATCAATAGTGATTAAACCACTCACGGAATCAATGTGGACGTAACCAGCTAAAAAATTCGATGATTGAGGTACTTTGGTTCAAGTACCTACTTACTGGGATCATCAACGCTGTAGTTGATTTCGTTGTTAATGTCTTAATCACAATCGATAGCTTGAACTAGTGACGTCTTTAAAATAATAACAAAGACAATTTGTGTTATCTAGATGACAGTGAAGATTTTACCAAGGATTGTTGTTTTGCTACGGCTATGATGGCTGGAAATTGGGTCCAGGTGTGGGATTCGTCGGCTGAAACTAATGTTAAGTACTGGTGAAAGTACCCATAGCATGTTTAGTAGAAGTATAATTACCATAGGTAAAAAGAATGAAGAAGATTGACAGGAGAATAGATTTCATTTCGCTGTGTGAAGATTTGAAATCTGAGACTAGGATTTCGTAAGTTTAGACTGGGTTAGATGAAACACTTATCTGATAATCGGGATAACGAATTTTAAACTTCTCATTTTTTCTGTAATGTTATAGATAATTTATTTGTATTTAATCCTAGTTTGGTTTAAACAAAAAAAAAAAAGCAAAGGCGTTAGGAGAATTTAGATCTACTGTGTTATTGTTATTTACAATACAGTAGCGGTCATTTCTACGGAACCACTCGATAAAAAGTCAAGTTGGTAGCCCTGTCATCTAGTACTTTACGCCGAACGCGGTTGGTAGCGGTAGTTGACATGGCAATCGAAACTAGCACAACACGAATGTTTCGGTTACCCTCAGCTATGCCGCACTGTATCCCGTGCAGACTGTATGTTCTGTTCATCTATTTATTAAAATAAAATATCTACATTGACAATGGGGCCATCTAACTTGTCAAATTTTTGACACATATGTTTTCCCCCAGAAACACGTCAAGGTCACTTACACCAAACAAATTTTGAAAATTTACACTAGGGAGTGGTTCTATAGAAAAGATCGCGACTTTATATGAAAAATTCTTTTTATTCTGGGAGAGGTAATCCTCCTCTTAAAGTAGAAATATCGAAAAAGTGAAAAATCAAAAATCGAAAAATCGAAATCAGAAAATCGAAATATCAAAAAATTTAAAATTTAAAAAACTGGAGAATTAAAATATAAATCCAGAAATTGAAGAATTTCCAAAATTGAAATGCTGAAAAATTGAGAAATCGAAAAAATTAAAAAATCGAAAACGAGAGGTTGAAAATTTATTAAATTTTTAATTAAGTATTAAAAATTAAAAAATAAGGAAATCGACACATCAAAAAAATGTAAAAATTGAAGAATCGAAAAACTAAAAAATCTAGAAATTGGAAAATTCCAAAACTAAAATCTCAAAAAATTAGGAAATCAAAAAATTGAAAATTCGAAATATGGAAAAATTGGAAGATCCATGAATCGAAAAGTCGAGAAGTCAAAAACAGAAAAAGAAATCGAAATAGCATAAAATCGAAAAATTAAAAATTGAAAAATTTGAAAATTTTAAATACAAAAAACGATATATCCAAAAAACAAAAAATTGAAAAAGCGAAAAATTCTGAAATTGAACTACCCAAAAAACCAAATCTCGATAAATCCAGAAATTGAAAAATTCGAGAATCGAAAAATTAAGGAATTTTAAAATTAAAAAATCGAAAAAGTGAAAAATCAAAAAACTGAAAAATTGAGAAATTAAAAAATCCCAAAACTGAATTTTGAAAAATCGGCAAATCGAAAAGGTGAGAACTCGAAACCTCGAAAAACCTTGATAAATCGAAAAGCCAAAAAAAGAGGAAAAATCGAAAAACCGACGAATCGGAAAATCTAAACATCGCAAACTTAAAAGATCCAGAAATCAAATCAAAATATGGAAAGGACGAAGAATAAAAAAATTGAGAAATCGAAATAGCATAAAATCGAAAAATTAAAAATCGAAAAATTGGTACATTGAATAACCGAAAATTCGAAACATCAAAATCTTGATAAACTGGAAAATTGCAAAATCGAACAATTGAAAAATCAAAGATTTTGAACATCGAAAAATTGAAAAATTATTTCGGTTTTCAATTTTTCAATGTTCAAAATCATTGATTTTTATAAAACCAAGAAGTCGAAAAGGCGAAAAATTGAGAAATCGAAATATCAAAAATTGAAAACTATCAAAAAAATTGAAAAACTGAAGAACCAAAAATCGAAAAATCGGGAAATTGAAAAATTTAAGAGTCGAAATGTTAAAAAATCCTCACATATCGAAGAATTGATCAATTGAAAAATCGAAAAACTGAAAAATGGCAGAAAAATTTTGCAATCCAAAAACTGAAAAATCGAGAATACGAATAATTGAAAAAATCGAAAAATTTTGAAAATCGAAAAATTGAATAATTAGAAACCTGAAAATTCGAAAAATCGAAAAACTGAAAAATCGACAAATTGAAAAATGCCGAAATTGAAATCTCGAAAAATTGTGAAATTGAAATCGGAAAACCTTACAGTCGAAAAGTCAAAAAAATCGTGAAATCGAAAATTTACAGACGTCAAAAAATTGAAAAATCGAAAAATTGGGGAATCAACAAAAATCTAGAAGTTGAAAATTGAAAAAAGTCGAAAAATTGAAGAATAGAAAAATCGAACAACTGAAAATCGAAAAATTTAAGAGTGAAAATGTTGAAAAATTTCAAAACTCAAATATCGAAAAATAGATAAATCGAAAAACTGAAAAATCCCGAAGTTGAAATCTCGAAAAAGTCGAGATATGGCAAAATCAAAAAGTCGAGAAATTTAAGAGTCGAAAAGTCAAAAAATTGAGATATCGGAAACTTAGAGACGTCAAAAATTGAAAAGTCGAAAAACTGGAGAATAGGAAAATCGAAGGACTTAAAATGGAAAAATATAGAAATCGAAAAATTTAAAAAGTAAGAAATTGAAAAATTCCCAAAATTGATATGCTAAAAACTTGAAAAATCGTATCTCGAAAAATGTTAAAAATCAAAAAATTTTACATTTTTTATTAAATAAGTATTAAAAATTAAAAAATAGGGAAATCGAAACATTAAAAAAAGTAAAAAATTGAAAAATTAAAAAAAGAGAAAAACAAAGAATCGAGAAATTGAAAAATTCCAAAACTGAAATCTCGAAAAATTAGGATATCAAAACTTGAAAAGTCTAAATATCGAAAATTTTGAAAATGGATCGAAAATTTAAAAAGTCGAATAATTGAAAAACAGAAAAATCGAAGAACTGATAATCGAAACAAACGAGAAATCGAAAAACTTGAGAGTTGAAAATGTTGAAAAATCCCAAAACTCAAATATCGAAAAATTGATAAATCGATAAACTGAAATATCGAAGAAAATTTTAGCAATCCAAAAACTGAACAAATGGGAAATTGAAAAATTTCAAAAATCGAAAAATTGAAAAATCAAAAACGTAAAAAATGAAATTGAAAAATCCCGCAATTAAAATCTCTAAAAATTGATCGAAATATGAGAAAATAAAAAAATTGAAAAACCCAAAAGTCGAACGTTACAAATTGAAAAATTGACAAATTGGAGAATTGAAAATTAAAAAAATGTCGAGTATTTGGGAATCGAATAACTGAAAATTCCCAAAACTGAAAAACTGAGAAATTCAAAGTTGAAAATTCGAGAAAAATCGTTACAGTTTTGAATTTTTTTCCAAATCTCGATATCTAGGATACAAATTCAACACGGATTCATAAACAACATATTTAGGCTTATGTTAATTTTGACATTTAAATAACATTTATTATTCTTAACTTAAACACGGAAAGCAAAAATTAAGGCCCGACATTAATAACATCAAATCAAAAACCATTCGGATTAGCACACTTTATTAATAAAAAGGCGTGATAATTAAAAACTAAATCGTAATATTAACTTGAAGGTACCTCCAGCATTGTACAGGTGCGATGAACAGTAAAACCGAAGTAGTACTAGGTGACAACTACACGAGTAGAATTTAGGAGTACGGTGACTTCGGCGGTTTTGTTGTGGTTCAATTGAATCAAGGGCGGATTGTCATCTACATCTGTAACTAGTACCCCGATCGTTCTTACAGCTGAGGCTCTTGGTTGCTCAGAATAAAACGCCTCTAGATAGATTTCAAAACTGCTTTGTTGTTCTCTGTCGATTTTTGGAACTATAATTTCTAAGACATTCATCCCCCATTGACCTATCTCTATTTGATTAAATGTGCTGTCTATAACTGCGATTACTATGTCACAGGGAGGGTGGCCATCGCCTGGTGCAGCCGATATGGTAAGAATCTACAAGACAATGCTAATCACAGAAAGTTAAAATAATCGAAGTACCGTATTTTCTTCTTGTTCTTCTATCTGTTTAATACTTGAACTATCGGTCCAAGCTGGCGGTTTATAAACGTAGACTGTAATTGGTACTTTCTCACTAGCACCCTGAAAATTCTTTATCAGTACTATGAATAAGAGACACGTTATTTTAATTACCGCAACTTTTACGTTGAAGTTAAATTGGTTCGTGCTTTCGTAAAACAGCACTTGGTCTTGTTTCAGTACCAAGTAGATCGATGTAACTAAATCACTACTACTAGGTGGTGATCTGTACTGTAATTCGAAAATGTTTTCTTCATGCTAAAAAATGATCTGTAGTTTGGGGTCTTATTGATTGTCGAAATGTACCGAATCGCCTTCTATGGTGAACGTGACACTACTTAAGTGTCCGTCGGTACTACTTATGATGAACTCACACTGGGAATTGTTTACATCGATTGCCAGTTCTTCCTGGAAAATTAGTAAGGATGAAGTGCTTTTATAGAGTTGATAGAAATTTTACCAGCATGTAGCAATCTTCCACTTTTAGTACTGGGCCCTCAGTGGCTCTAGCATCGAGTACGACTGTCCCGGTTGAAAAGTGTGCATAAAGGACGAAAAAAAGGAGACGTGGAATTTTCATGGTGAGTGGCAATGGGGCTAAGAAAAATTAATATTACAGTACTGCACTTGTTTGGTCATTCCCATGCAAATCAAATCGACATGCGGTTTGCTCGTCGCATAGACCTCTCCTTGTCTAACACGTGCATATTGCAATCCCTATTTGTCCATGGCGTTCCTTTTCTATCGATATTTTTAAAACATGTTTAATAATTTTTTCTGCAATACACGTACGGCTAATATAACAGTACGATACATATGTATTTAAAAATAATACCTAATAAATAGAATAATGGCCCCACGGTCGTGTATTAATATTATGTTCTAAAATACAACGAATATTGTCAAACACATCAAATGCATTCTTCTGTAAATTTAATGTCATCAGTCATCACTTTATGGTTTTTTTATTGAATTGATTTTAATTTACACATAACTGGACATCCTTTATTAAATAAGCAGTTGTAAAAATTATCAAACAATTCATTGTTCGAAACTGTTTTTGAATTACCATTATGTTGTAATCATATAAAAGGTAGGAAGTATATTTGTAGTTTAAATAATGTACGAATGATTGCCAATTATGTTGGCCGCAACATGATGTAATCGTATATACATAAAACTGTTAATAAAATATTAAAAAGAAAATGTATTAGTTCTTTCTGTTTTTTAAAATGATGTCCATATAGGAAAAAAAAAACATTTGTAAGAATCGCCGAAAAACCAAGGGTCCCCTCATCCTTGGGCGGGGGCCCAAGGCCCATGGATCTCAGAAGAACGGGGGCGCATGCGTGACGCATCGGCTAGGCCAAGAGGGTCGGGGGGCTCTATGTCTATATCGAGCGTGCGCGCGCTCCACTTCCCCTCTCACCTAGAAAGCTTTTTCAGGGTTGTCGTCAGAGGAGAGGCACAACATACCCCATACATTTACGCGCACAAGATAGAAAAGGAGGGACATGGACAAACAGGGGTGGGAATATGCACGTGTTAGACAAGGAGAGGTATATACGACGAGTAAACCGAATGTCCATTTGATTCGCATTGGACTGATATAACGTCAGTCCCAATTTCTAGCAACTTTAGAGACTCACTTATCACGACATAAAATAAAAATTGTCAGTTTGTCGACGCAAGTAAATATATCAAACACGTGCAGTACTGTTGTATTAATTTTTCTTAGTCCCATTGCGTCTCCTTTATTTCGTCCTTTATGCACACTGACACTTTTCAACAGTCGTATTCGAAGCTAGAGCCACTGAGGATCCAGTACTAAGAGTAGAAGATTGCTATATGCTATCACGTTCACCATAGCAGAAGATTCGGTAAATTTCGACAGTCAATAAGACCCCAAACTACAGATAATTTTTTGGCGTGAAGAAAATATTTTCGAATTACAGTCCAAATCACCACCTGGTAGTAGTACCACAATTACGTCGATCTACTCACCTCCGTATTTGCGTAGGAAGTTTCGCTCGAGACAAAGTATTTTAGATACTAATATACCACTAAGGAACCTTCAGCAGTTGTCAATGCCAAGATTTTTTACCTCTATTTTTTGTAAATCATTGTCATTTAACATTATTAAGTCTTATAATAAGTTTAATTCTGAATTGCTGTATTGTACTTCTGTGAACAGCTTTCGGAAAAAAATAAAAAACATTCTGTTGCACTCGGAATCGTCATAAATTTAGCTATCTGGGACGCCCATATTTGTAGATATATGTCCTGTATCCAAATTCTTAATATTTACTGTTAAATTATTGTGTGAATTATATATTTTTGTTGTGGTTATTATATACATATTTATATTATTATTTTCTTCATAACTATTGCATCTCTAAGTTAATTTTATTATTTTATTGTTTTTGCATTGAATATTTATTTTGTAAGGTTGAGTGGAATAGCCTATGGCTAGACTCCGCCTAATCATGTATTATTTTAACATGAATAAAGTCCTATGTATGTATGTACTTGGTACTGAAACAAGACCAACCAAGTGCTATTTTACGAAAACCAAAAACCAATTTAACTTCAACATAAACGTTGCGGTAATTCAGAAAAACGTGTCTTTTAATAGTACGGATACGTAATTTTCAGGGTGCTAGCGATAAAGTACCATTTACAGTCTACGTTTATAAACCGCCAGCTTGGACCGATAGTTCAAGTACTAAACAAATAGAAGAAGAACAGGAATATACGGTACTTTGAGTATTTTAGCTTTCTGTGACTAGCATTGTGTTGTAGATTTTTATCATATAGGCTGCACCTGTGACGTAGTAATTGTAGTTATAGATAGCACATAATCAAATAGAAATAGGCAATGGTGGACGAATATGTTAGAAATTATTGTTCCAAAAATCGACAGAGAACAACAAAGCAGTTTTGAAATGTATGTAGAGGTGCAGCCAAGAGCCTCAGCTGTAAGAACTATCGGGGTACTAGTTACAGATGTAGATGACAATCCGCCCACGATTCCATTCAATCAGAACAAAACCATCGAAGTCATCATATACCTAAATGCTACTCGTGTAGTTGTCACCTTATACAAAGAACAAAGTTCTGGGAGTGCTAGTTTGGGTACTACTTCGGCTTTACTGTTCACTGCAATTGTGTCATGCTGGAGGTACCTTTAAGTTAATATTACGGTTTAATTTTTAATCATCACAGTTTTTTTTATTAATAAAATGTAGTGAATTTTACTGAATTAATAATTGTTCGTTCCTAGTCATCTTTATGTCCAATATTGATAGGGTAAATATTTTCTACCAATCCGAACGGTTTTTGATTTGATATTATTGCCGTAGGTGCCCAATTTTTACTACCCGGACGTCAGCTACGAATAATAATTGTTATTTAAATCTTAAAAAGTAACATAGTCCTTGGAAAAAAATTGTGTAATGATTTTTCGATTTCTCGAATTTTCAGCTTCAAATTTCTCAATTTTTCAGTTATTTGATTCTTCAAATTTTAGACTTTTTAAGATTTTCGATTTCTCGATTTTTTATTTTTCGATTCTCCGATTTTTATATTTTGCCATTTCTCGACTTTTCGATGCTTGGACTTCCCAAATTTTCGAGATTTCAATTTCGAATTTTTCGATTTCACGAATTTTCAGTTTTTCAATTTTTTGATTTTTTAAATTTTTCGAATTGGATTGCTAAATTTTTCTTCGACGTTTCACTTTTTTGATTTTTCTATTTATATTTTGCCTTTTTTTTTCTTAATATACACAGTATTCTGGCGAAGCCTAATTGCAAAATCCGTATTTCCTTAACAAAATTTACCATCTTAAACGTTTTTTAAGTTTCTAAGAATAAAAAAAATCATCGCAATTGAGACGGGGTGGGTGGGCGGGGTTTATATTTTGCCTTTCTTTTTTCTTAATATATATAGTATTCTTTGAACAACACGATATTCAAAAACATGTTTTTAACTTCTTGTAAAGAAATAAGTATTTTGCAGTTAGGCTCTGCCCCATACTTGCAAAATCCAAATTTTCTTGCCAAAATGTACCATTTTAACCATGTTTTAAGTTGCTTGTGAAAAGATGGCTATATATATTAAGAAAAACCGAGGCAAAATATAAGCCCCGCCCACCCGCCCGAACTCAATTCTGATGATTTTTTTTATTCGTCGTAAGCCGAGGGGCGGAGCGTAATTGTAAAATCCTTATTTTTCTAAACAGAATTCCCACCCATCCGTCTCGATCTCAATCATGATGAATATTTCATTCGTTATCAGACCGTGGGGCGGAGCGTAATTGCAAAATCCATATTTTCCTATACAAATTTACCACTTTAAATATGTATTAAGTTTCTTGTTGCGAAAAGATGACTACACAATCTAAGAAAAAAAGGCAAAATGTAAGCCCCGCCCTATCTCAGTTGTGATGATTTTTTCATTCGTCGTGAGCCGAGGGGCGGAGTTTAATTGCAAAATCCTGATTTCTCTACAAGCAATAAAAAATTTTTTGTACTATGTATATTAAGAAAAAAACAAGCCAAAAATTAAGCCCCATCCATATCCATCCCAAGTTCAATTATGCTGAATTTTTCATTCTTTGTCAGACCGGAGGCGGAGCCTAATTGCAAAATCGATACTTTCCTACAAAAATTTACCATTTTAAACGTGTTTTAGGTTTCTAAGAATACAAAAAATCATCACAATCGGGATGGGGTGGGTGGGCGGGGTCTATATTTTGCTTTTTTTTCTTAATGTACATGGTATTATTTGAACAACACGATACTTAAAAACATGTTTTTAATTTTCTGTAAACAAATGAGTATTTTGCATTTAGCTCCGCCCTCTTGACTCACGGTGAATATAAAAAATATGTTTAATATGGGAAATTTGTATGCGGAAATATCGATTTTGTAATTAGGCTCCTCCCCATAATTGCACAATCCATATTTCCTTGCAAAATGTGCCATTTTAACCATGTTTTAAGTTTCTTGTGAATGATGGCTATGTATATTAAGAAATAAAAGGCTAAATATAAGCCCCGCCCACCCACCCTATCGCAATTCTGATGATTTTTTGTGTTCGTCGTAAGCCGAGAGGCGGAGCTTAATTGTTAAATCCTCGTTTTTCCACGAGAAATTACTATATGAAATAATATCTATCATTTTACCTTATTTTTCTTTTAATATGTGTAGACTTATTTTTACAAGATGAAACTTAAAACATGTTAAAAATGGAAAATTTTCATAAGGAAATATTGATTTTGCAATTAGGGTCCGCCCCATAATTGCAAAATCTATAGCCCCTAGCAAAATCCATGTTTCCGTCCAAAAATGTACCATTTTAACCATGTTTTAAGTTTCTTGTTGTGAAAAGATGGCTATGTATATGAAGAAAAAAAAAAGGCAAAATATAAGCCCCACCCACCCACCCCGTCTCAATTCTGACGATTATTTTTTATTCGTCGTAAGCCGGGGGGCGGAGCTTAATTGCATGTTACATGGGAGTCGAAATGCTAAAAAATCTAGAAATCGAAACATCAAAAATTTAAGAATTCGAAAAATTGAAAAATAAAAAAACTGAGGAACTGAAAAATAGAAAAATCAGAGTATTGAAAAGTTGGAAAATCTAAAATTTAAAAATCGAGAAATGGGAAAGTCAAAAATTCGGAAAACGTAAAAGTCGAACAATAAAAAAAATCGAGAAATCAAAAAGTCTAAAACCCAAAAATCGGAAATTTAAAGACGCCAAAAATTGAAAAATCGAAAAACTGGAGAATCGAAAATAAAAAATCGAGAAATCGAAAATTTAAAAAAGTCGATAATTTAAAAAATCAAAAAACTGAAAAATTGACACAGTGTTACACTCGGAAAGTAAAAATTGAAGACCTACGGCAATAATATCAAAACAAACCAAAAACCGTTCGCTTAGTCGAAAATATTTACTCCACCAATATTGGAGATAAAGTCGATTAGGAACGAAAAATCATTCAATAAAGTCGATTACAATTTATTAATTACAAAAACCGTGATAACTAAAAATAAACCGTAAAACTTATTAACTTAAAGGTACCTCCAGCATTGTACAAGTGCGGTGAACAATACAGCCGAAGTAGTACCCAAACTAGCACTCCCAGAACTTTGTTCTTTGTACAAGGTGACCGTCATTGGCACCGAATCTTCAAAATTCTCATTGTTCACACTTTTCGCGTGCAACTGCAACCAAAAATTTCCAAAAAATGGAAGCAATCGTGCGAAAAAAATATACCTCCAGTGCGAAAGTACCCCACGTTAGGTCGTCCTCAACTAGCTTCGTTGGATCTATGATTATATCGATAGTTTCGTTACCTACTCCCGTTGCGGGTGACACTGTCAAAGCTGGTCTCAGACTATCGGGGCTTTTAAGACTAACCGAAAACTCAGAATGTAGACCCTGTGTTTAAATATTAGTACCAAGTAACCGATTTTATTAGTACTTTTACCAAATCGGGGTCGGAAATTTTAACGTTTGTCACAACCACACTAGTTGCATTTAGGGGTACGGTGACTTCGACGGATTTGTTGTGGTTGAATTGAATCGTGGGCGGATTGTCATCTACATCTGTAACTAGTACCCCGATAGTTCTTACAGCTGAGGCTCTTGGGTGCTCAGAATAAGACGCTTCTAGATAGATCTCAAAACTGCTTTGTTGTTCTCTGTCGATTTTTGGAACTATAATTTCTAGGGTATTTCGGTTCCATTGGCCTACTTCGATTTGTTGAAATGTGCTGTCGATAAGTTCAATTGTTATGTCACTGAGAGGGTGGCCATCGCCTGGTGCAGCCGATATGGTAAAAATCTACAAGACAATGCTAGTCACAGAAAGTTAAAATAGTCAAAGTACCGTATTTTCTTGTTCTTCTTCGATTTGTTCAATACTTAAACCATCGGTCCAAGCTGGCGGTTTATAAACGTAGACTGCAACTGGTACTTTCTCGCTAGCACCCTGAAAATTCTTTATCAGTACCATGAATAAGAGACGCGTTTTTTTAATTACCGCAACGTTTACGTTGAAGTTAAATTTGTTCGTGGTTTCGTAAGACAACACTTGGTTTTGTTTCAGTACCAAGTAGATCGGTACAACAGTATCACTAGTTCTAGGTGGTGATATGTACTGTAATTCGAAAATGTTTTCTTCATCCTAAAAATTGGTGTGTAGTTTGGGGTCTCATTGACTATCGAAATTTACCGAATCTCCTTCTATGGTGAACATGACACTACCTAAGTGTCCGTCAGTACTACTTATAATGAAGTCACACTGGGAATTGGTTACATTGATTGCTACTTTTTCCTGGAAGATTAGCAAGGATGAAGTAGTTTTATAGAGTTGATGGAAATTTTACCAGCATGTAGCAATCTTCTACTCTTAGCACTGGTCCCTCGGTGGCTCTAGCATCGAGTACGACTGTTCCGGTTGAAAAGTGTGCATAAAGAAGGAAAAAAACGAGACGTGGAATTTTCATGGCGAGTGGCAATTAATATTCCAGTACTGCACGTGTTTGATATACGTTCTTGCGTCGACTAACTGACAATTTTTATTTTATCTCGTGATAATCTCGATGTTCGGTTATCTTCTAATCGATAAGTGATTCGGATTTAGGAATTTTATAACAATCGGGATTGGTTCCTAGGAATGAGTGTTAACAAAGATCTACATTGTAGTAGATATAGCACTAATGAGTACACAATTGCTTTACACTTTTTTTATAAGGTTGTGCAACTTTCTGATATAAATGTTTGTGGTATATTTAGACGGTTATAACACGTCTTATCCCGATCAACCTCTATTTACAACTGCTTCTATCAACTTATTCTTATCGGTAATTTTTAATAACATTAATAGGTTGAATAATGATTTCGTTTTTGTTTGTTGTAATTCGTCGTTACCTGACGACGCAATTTTCCATTGAACAACTTTCACACTTATCTGGTGACGTCAACCATCACACTCGAAATATGGAATGCACTAATGGTTAATTTCTTTTCTTAATTACCTTGAAACATGAGCATTCGCGAAAACGTGCATATTTTAAATAAGATTAGTCCATTTCTGGGTATTCAGTGATCACAGATTTTTTCATGCGTCATCTTCATCATCGCCCGAAGTAGAAAACCACCTTCCACTCCAGCAATTTCAATTAGCGACTTAACCTTCATTAACCTTATTGCTCGGTCGAAAAATGTCATCACAATGGCGATAATGCGATAATTAGCATCAATTAATTAATATCATAATTTGATTTTAATTGATCCTATTTCCATTCAATTAAGCAATTACACAACACTCATGAGAAATCCACTTCGAATAGCGGTTCCCGGAGATACTTGAATTGATAATCTCCCAACATTGTGGCATTTCAACCGTTACATCCTGGACAAATACCATAATTATCGGAGTTGATTCCACATACTAACCCAAAATAAAGTTCACCGGCATATAATTACTCTAATTGCATGAATTATTGGTCGACAAAGTTGCAGACAAAGCTGGGACCAGACTGCAGACTGCTTTGTTGGCTGGGTTTATGTAGTTTGCGATTTATGGGAATATTTTAGTTTGGGAATTTAAAAGTGGGTGCTCGTAAAGACACTATGACGAAATCTATAAAAAGTAAGTGTTAGTTTACGTCTGTTGTCTTTGTTGGAGTTTAATTCGTGTTTTATTTGTTAACTTCTTTATTATCTAGTGCAGTAACTCTATTTTAAGACTCGTTCCAGTCAGGTTAGAGGTGCGATTATGCAGTCGAAGGGGATATTAAAGGAGTTTGAAGGAGCGTCGTAAAACACGTGTTTTTTCGGACACGTGTTTCTAACGGACTACTTTGTAAAAATTCGACGTGGCGTATTTATAAACGAGTGGGTACCCCTATCTCTTGAAGCGGCACGTGCATTTAATAGTGCTACATGCTTCAAATTAAATCGAATTTCCAAAAACGAACATAAAAAATATACTTTGAAAAATTATAAAAAATGTTTCGATTTTTGTTTTGTGATAACCTATATAAAGTGCGGAAAATATGAAATATATTTAAAGCAGATAACCAACGGGAAAAATGCTTTTAGAAAAATTGGAATATTGAGAATTCGAACAATCGAAAAATTGGAACTTCGATAAATCAAGAAATCAAAAAATTAAATACTTTAAAAATCGAGAAATTAAAAATATCGAATGCGAAATCGAAATATTGGATAACGAAGTCGAATCGGAACATCAAAAAATCCAAAAATCTAAAATTGAAAGGTTGAAAAATCGAGAAATCGAAAAATCGAAAAAATTTAAAAGTTGAAAAATCGAGATGGCGAGAATCGAAAAATTAATGTATCAAAAACTAAAAAATAGGAAAATTAAAATATCAAAAAATCGTAAAATCGAAAAATTGAAGAATCGAAAAACTGAAAAATCGACAAATTGAAAAATCCCAAAACTGAAATCTCGAAATCGAGCATTAAAAAGTCGAAACACTGAAGAATTGGAAGATCGTTAAATCCAAAATCCGTACCGTCGAAAGAAATCGAAACATCAATACATCGAAAAATCTGATAAATTTAGAAATCGAAAAATTGAAAAATCGAGAAATCGAAAAATCGAAACGAAAAATTTAACAACTGAAATGTTGAAAAATTCCAAAACTGAAATATTCAAAAATTGATAAATCGATAAATTGAAAAATTGAAAAACGAAAAAAATCGAAGAAAAGACGAAACATCGAAAAACTGGAAGATCGATGTTGAAAAATCGGTAAGTCGAAACATTGAAAAATTCAAATATCTAAAAGTCGAAATATCAAAACATCGAGAAATCGGGAAATCGAAAAACCGAAAAATTGAGAAATCGAAATAGCGTAAAAATCGAAATATCGAAATCTCTATAAATCCAGAAATTGAAAACGTCAAAATAAAAAAATCGAGAAACTGAAAGATCGAGAAAACATAAAAGTCGAAAAATTAAAAATTATAAAAATGGAAAAATTGAAATAGCTAAAAACTGAAGACTTGAAAAACTGAAAAATCGAGAAATCGAGACGTCGAGCAATCGAAACATCGAAAAATTCAGTAATAGAGAAATGGGAAACCCCAAAAATTGAAGAATCGAAAATTGAGAACACGTAAAATGGAAATTTCGAAAAATTGAGAAATTTATTAATAAAAATCAAGAAATCGAATATAAAAAAAATTGAAGTATCGAAAAATGAAGCAATCGAACAATCGAAAAATCGAAAAGCCGAAAATTCGAAAATTTCATAACTTCTATAAATCGAAAAATTGGGAAATCAAAGAATAGAATCGAAAAACTGAAAAATCGAGAAATTAAGAAATGTTAAAATCAAAAAACCTAAAAATCTAAAAGCCGAAGAGTCAATAAATCGAAAAATCGAAATAGAAAAATCAAAAACCTGCAATTCTAAAAATCGAAAAGTCAAATCGAGAAATCGAAAAAATTGAAATATTGAACATTTTAAAAATGGAAAAATTGAAGAATTGAAAAATTTAAAAAGCTAGAAATTGAAGAATCAAAAAATTGAGATATCGGAAAATTTAAAAATCGAAAAAGCAAAGATCCGAAATATCGAAATTCGAAGTCGAAAAATTGGAGGATCGAACAATCGAAATATTAAAAAAATCGAAGAATCTAAAATCTAAAAAATCGATAAATTAAAAATCGAAAAAGTAAAAATCCAAAAATTGAAGAATTCCCAAATTTGAAAAGTCGAAAAACCGAGATTTCGAGAAATCGAAAAATTAACGTATAAAAAATTAAAAAATTAAAAAACTGTAATATCTAAAACCGAGAAGTCGAAAGTACGGACGTTGAGAAATCGAAAATCAAAAAATTGAAAAATTAAAAATTTCGAAAAATTGAAAAATGGAAAGCCAAAGTACTAAATATTTGAAAAACTGAAAAATCGTAAAATTCAAACATCAAATGTCGAAAAATCTAGAAATCAAGAAACTGAAAATTTGAGAAATCGAAAAGTCGAAAAATTCCGAAATCAAAAAATTGAAGAATCGAAAAACTGAGAAATCGAGAAATGGTAAAATCAAAAAACCTAAATATCTAACGCCGAAAAGTCAATAAATCGAGAATTAAAAGGTCTAAAAATTGAAATTTCCAAAAATGTGGAATTGAAAAACTGAAAAATCGAAAAATCGAGACGTAGAGCAATCGACACATCTAAAAGTCCAATAATAGAGAAACGGGAAAATAAAAAAATCGAAAAATCTAAAAGTCGAAAAGTCAAAATATCGAGAAATCGAAGTCAAAAAATCGAAAAATTGAGAAATCGAAACAACATAAAATCAAAAATTGAAAAATTGAAAAATTTAAAAATTTAAAATTTAAACCGAATAATGAAAAAAATTGAAAAAACCGATAAATTTTGGGAAATTGAACAATCGAAACGAAAAACCGAAAAATTTAAGAATTGAAAGACTCAAAGATGGGGAAATCGAGAAATGGTAAACTCAAAATTCTAAAAATGTAAAATTCGAAAAGTCAATACATCAAGAAATCGAAATCAGAAAAAAAATCTAAAATTTGAAAAATCGTTTAATCGAGAAATCCAAAATTTAGAAACGCCAGAAATTGAAAAACCTAAAAATTGCAAGATCGAAAAATGGAAAAGTCGAAAAATTGAAAATTTTAAAAATGAAAAAGTTGAAATATCGAAAAATTGAAAAATTGTTATACAATTTTGAATTTTTTCCCAAAAATCTCGATGACGTGGATAAAAATTCAAGACGGATTCATAAACCACAAATTCAAGTTTATGCTACTTTTTAACATGTATTAATTTTGATTACTGATTTACAATACTTCCGATAATCTTAAAATGTTTGCAATTGAAAGGCTTTAAGTCCGTTGGGCTTTGTATTGAAAATAAATAATAAATAAATAAATAATAACGAAAAATTGAAAAATTAAAAAATCGAAAAGTTAAAAAATTGAAAATGGAAAAATAAAAAATCGAAAAATTGTTAAATTGAAATGTCTAAAGTCGAGTAGTCGAAAAATCGTAAGATCGACAAATCGAAATAATCAAAAATTGAAAATTCTAAAATTTAAAAATTGGAAAAATTGAAAAATCGACGAACTGAGAAATTGAAAAGTCGAAATTGAAACATTAAAAAATCGAAAAACGGAGAATCGAAAAGATGAAAAAGCGAAGAATTTAAGAATCGAAATTTTGAAAAATGCCAAAAGGAAGACTGGAAAATTGATAAATCGATAAATCGAAGAGCTCAAGAATTGAAGAATCGAAAAGTCGGAAAAACTGTAGAATTTAGAAACTACAAAATCGAGAAATCGAAACGTCGAGCAATGGAAAATTAACAAATCTGGAAATCGAAGAATAGGAAATTAAAAAAGAAAATGAAAAATCTAAATGTCGAAAAGCCAAAAATTGAGAAATCAAAAAATCGATTAATCGAGAAATCGAAACTTTAGAAGCGCCAAAGTTTGAAAAATCGAAAAATTCGAAGAATTGAAAAATCGAGTTCTAAAAGTGAAATATCGAAACATTGTGAAATCGGAAGTTGAAAAATTGAGAAATCGAAAAGCCGAAAAATCGGAAAGTTGAGAAACGGAACAATTTAAAATTGAAAAAATTTAAAAATTGAGTAATTGAATCCAAAAATTGAAAAATTGAAAAATTAGGACATAAAAAAAAAACGAAAAATGTAAATATTTAAAAACCAAAAAGATCAAGAATCAAAAATCGAAAAATTTTAGAATCGAAATCTTGAAAAATCTCAAAACTGAAATCTTAAAAAATTGCCAAATCGAAAAATTGTAAAGTTGAAACAGAAAAATGGGAAGATCGTTAAATCGAAAAGTCGAAGAAACGTGGAAAAATTAAAACAAAAAGGTTGAGAAGTCGAGAAAATAAAAAGTCGAGGAGTCGAAAAACCGAAAAATTAAAAAATGGAAAATTTAAAACATCGAAAACTTAAAAAAATTGCAAAATGGAAAAATCGGGAAAGAGAACAATTGAAATAAAAAATTGAAACATAAAAATCTCTGTATCCAGAAAATGAAAAATTGAGAAAAAAAAAAATCGAAAAAGTAAAAAATTAAAAATGGAAAAATTGAGAAGTTGAAATATCTAAAGCCAAGCAGTCGAAAAATCGTAAGAACAACGAATTGAAATAATCAAAAATTGAAAAATCGAAAATATAAAAAAATCGAAAAATTGAAAAAATGAAAAGCTGAAAGATGTAAGAATCGAACTATTGAAAAATCCCAAAACTGAAATATTGAAAAAGTGATAAATCGATAAATTGAAAAACTCAGAAATCGAGGAATCCAGACATCGAGCAATGGAAAATTAAAAGTCTAGAAACAGAAGAATAGGAAAATAAAAAAAATGAAAAATCAAAAAGTCGAAAAGCCAAAAAATTGATTAATTGAGAAATTGAAAATTTAGAAACACCAAAAATTGGAAAATGAGATAATTGAAAATTTGGAACATTAATACATAAATCAAAACATTAAAAAATTGAAATATCGATAAATCGAAACATTAAAAGATCGAGAAATCGAAAAGTCGAGAAGTCGAAAAAAACCAAATATCTAAAACCGAGAAGTCGAAAAATTGAAAAATCTAAAATTAAAAAAACAGAAATTGAAAAATTCCCAAAACTAAAATGCCGAAAAATTGAGAAATCGAAAACTTGAAAAATCGAGATATCGAAAAGTCGTAAAATTGAAAAATTGAAGTTGGGAAAACTGAAAATGGAGAAATTGAAAAATCCCAAAATTGAAATCTCTAAAAATTGGTAAATCGAAAAACTGTAAAATTGAAATATCGAAAAATTAAAACGTGGAGAAATCGAAACAAAAGACTGAGAAATCGAGAAATCAAAAAGTTGAGAAGTCGAAAACCGTAAAATCGCGAAGTCGAAATAGCATAAAATCGAAAGATCGAAAAATTAAAAACTCGAAAATTTAAAATTGAAAAAGTCAAAAAATTAAAAAATTGAAAAATCGAAAAATAGAGAAAGTGAACAATCGAAAAATCGAAACATTAAAATCTCTGTCTAGGAAATGAAAAATTAAAAAATTGAAAATGGAAAAATTAAAAATCGAAAAACTAAATTATTGAATTATCTAAAGCAGAGAAAAATCGTAAGATCGATAAATTAAAATAATCCACATTGAAAAATCTTTAATTCAAAAATTCGAAAAATTGACGAACTGAGAAATCGAAAAGTCGAGAAACTGAGCAATCTAAGATTTAAAAAAATTGAAAATTTGAAAATCGAGAAATTGAAACATTAAAAAATCAATAAGTTCAAAAATCGAAAAGATGAACAATCGAAGAATTTAAGAATCGAAATGTTGAAAAATCTCAAAACGGAAATATTGAAAAATTGAAAAACTGAAAAATCGAAAAATTGAAACATCGAGAAATCGAAAAGTCGAACAATTGAAGAATTGAAAAACCAAAAAATCGAGAAATCGAGACGTCGATCAAGGGAAAATTAAAGAGTCTAGAAATCGAAGAATAGGAAAAAAAATCTATAAGTCGAGAAGCCAAACATCTGCAAAGTCAAAAAATCGATTAATGGAGAAACTGAAAATTTAGAAACGGCAAAAATTGTAAAATCGAAAAATTCGAAAAATTGAAAAATCAAATAACTGAAAAATCCTAAAACTGATATATCGAAACATTGAGAAATCGGAAGTTGAAAGATTTAGAAATCGCAATATCGGAAAGTCGAGAAATTAAAACATTAAAAAAGCAAAAAATTCAAAAATTGAACAATTTAATATTCAAAAAGATACAAAATCGAAAAATCGAAAAATTTAAGAATCGAAATATTGAAAAATCCCAAAACTGAAATATCGAAAAAGTGGTAAACCAAAAAATCGAAAGCCGAAAAATTATTTTTTTTATCAAAAATCTCGATGTCTGGGATAAAAATTTAAGATTAAAGTATTGGATTGTGCTATTTCAAAGCCAAATTTTAAAATGTTGTGCAATTTTGATTGTTTTCCAAAAATCTGCATACATAGTGTAAAAACTCAACAAGGATTCATAAACCACAAATAGAGGGGACATTATTTTATAAAATTTAAATAGTATTCACTGAAATGGCAGAACTAAGTTTTCGTATTCTGGGGGTCTGAAACGTCGCGAAAACATAAAAATAGCCAGTCGCCCATGGATTCGGGAAATAAAAACACTGAAACTGTACCGAAGGAGTAAATTTGAAAATAAAAAAAATACAGATTCTTCAAAAAATCATATTAGCCTACGTTCAGGAGGTAAAATTATGCTTCGAGTGCAAAATCCTAGACATCTGCTCCCAGCCTTCGTATTGACACGGTCCCGTTTCTCACCTCTCGTCCAAACAGAAAAATAAGTTGTTTTCCCAGGTCTGCGTTTTTACCGCCTTGTAAAAATTTACGGTAATGACACGAGTGGCTAGCTCCGAATGGCCGCACTTCCTGTCACTGTCTTCACAGTTATCCGTCCAATGTCGCGGAAAAAGCGCCATCCAAAACATTTGTCTCACTCGGAAGCAATAACCTCTTAATCGCGATTTAAAGCTCGCACCTCGAGCCCGCCAGACGTCCGAGCACGCTCCAACTCCCGCTAACTCCGCCATCAAAGTGAATATTTTATCCGACCGCCCCCGAACTTCGCTAATAAGATATTGTTAGAAAAACGTACGAGCAAAACGTGTGGAGTCGTATCACACGTTTAACAACGCAAAGGAAATGGAACTAGAAGCGGATAAAAGCCCGGGTATTTACGACGAGAATGGCAAATCGAAAGGGGAAATGGGGAGAGCCGAATAAATATTGAAAGGTTAGCCTTAACTGTGTAGTCAATACAAGGGCCTATTCCAAGATTTGCATTTTCCACGCGAACACTCATCTAATCAGTAAAATGCTCCCACGTTACCGAACTGCAAAGCCTATAATACGTCGTCGATATTCCGCAGGAGGGCTTCCGGGCCGAGCCAGATTACCTGTGATGAATTCTGGAAGGCATTATCTGAATAATGGCCCGTGCGAAACGATTAACACATAAGCAAGTTCGGGAAGGCAAACTCGGGGATCAGGAGACGCGGATCCGATCGGGAGACCAACGTGGAGGGAATACGGAGCCGCTTAAAAGGTTGCATAAACGAACAACGGGAGCTGAACGAAATCTGACAGTTCGTTCGCCGGACTGAACACTCCCGAGGGACCAAACAAATTCCACTGTCTCAATCTCGTAAGCTGGGTCGTTTCGATTTCGTTACTTTCTGATAATTAAATAAAAAGTATCACACATTCTGGACATTCACTGTTGACTGTTTAAAGCTCCACCAACACTGCACTTGCCAGTTTGAAGTTTCAATTGAAATCATTCCTATCAATTTTTTGTTGAAATGCCAGGCTTCCAAATGCTGAATAGTTGATTGAGTTGATTTTTATTTGCCCGGAATTCAGCCGGATTTTTTAGCGTATTTACTAGTATACGTCCAGCTACATTTTACCACTTCATCGGCAAGCTTAGTGTTGAAAATCAGTTATTTGTTGTACTGTTCTCTCTCGACTTATTAATTCAAAAACACTGGGTGTGGGAAGAGAGAGCGTATTGGTTTTAAGCTGAGAAGTGTTTTTGCTTGTACAAACAAATATATTCGATGGATAATGTGTTAGTATTACACAGAGAGAAAATTTTCAAACAATTGTTGGGCTTGTTTGGCTACAAAAACACCTTTCTGAAATCCACAAACATTTCACATGTCGTTTTAAATTACCCACGTGCATAATTTGACTGGAAATCTAGAACATTCTAGCGTTATCGTTATCCAGAAAATGTCTTGTTTGCCATTTGCCAATTCTGTGATCCTTTATTTATCGACTCGAAAGTATCCAGATGTCATCGGTGAAAATGAAATTTCAGGTAATTATAAGATGACTTCGATTTCTAGCTTTTGATATGTTTTTTTAACCTCATATTCTTTCATTTTTAGTTTCAGTATGACATTGTTTCTTATTTCTACTTCTTCTCTTCAGTCTCTTTCGTTATTTTTTTTAGTTGTTTTATTTCTTGATTCTTATTTACAGTGTTTCTTCTTGTTCTTTCTTTCGTTCCACTCTTTTTCTTCCCTCAAGATCTCTAATTGTAAATATTATTTCAATTTCATTAAATAACATACGTTTTGTACTTGTGGTTTATGGATCCGTCTTTATTTTTTTACCCTAAACATCCAGATGCTTTTTACTAATGCAATTGATTAAGATTTCGATTCCGCTGCGGGTTCGATACCCGTATTAAATTCGAACATTATTACTTTCACCATGGATTTACGAACTATTCAACCATTTCGTTTTTAAAATTTTTTAGTTTTTCTGTTTCTGGTTATACAATTTTTCAATTTTACCACTAAAATTTGCAATATTTCGACCTTCGATTTTAATTTTTTCGTGTTTATATTTCTGTTATTCCATTTTTCTTTTTTTTTACTTTCTTCGATTTTTATTTAGCTATTTTTGGATTTTTCAGTTTTACATTTTTCAGTTTTTCCATATTTCAACTTTAAAAATTAAACATTGGAAAATTAAGAACTGAAACACCAAAACCTAAAAATCAAAAACTGAAAAATTTCGAAAAATCGAAAAATTAAAAATTGGGAAACTAAATAAAATAAATAAATCGAAAACTGAAAAAGGGAAAAATTGTAACTGAAAGATCGAAAAATTGAAAACTAAAAATTGGAAAAGTAAAACTTTGAAATTAAAAATTGGATAATTAAAATTTGAAAAAATTTAAAATGGAAAAATCGAAGAATTAAAAATCGAGAAACTGAAAACAAGAAAATTTGAAAAACCAAAAAATTGCATGTCGGAAAATTGGAAAATCGAAAATTGTAAAAAGTAACTTCCAAAAACTGCAGAAAAATTGAAGAATTGCAAATGGACAAATTCAAAATTGAAAAATTAAAAATTAAAAAATTAAAAATGAAAAAATTAAAATTGAAAAATCTTGAAAAATCGAAGAATTAAAAATTGGGAAACTGCAAAATCAAAAATTGAAAAAATGAAAAGTTGTAAGATTAAGATGTCAAAAAATTTGAAAAATAAAAAATTGGAAATTTAAAATGCAAAAATTTTGAGTTGGACAATTAAAAACTGAAAATATAAAAATTGAAAAATCAAAAATGGTAAAATTAAAAATTGAAAAATCATGAAAAATCCAAGAATTAAAAATCGGAAAATTGCAAACGAAAAGTGAAAAAACGAAAAATTGTAATATTAAGACGTCGAAAAACTGAAGAATTAAAAATCGAGAAATTGGAACCCCGAAAATTTGAAAAACCAAAAATTGCATGTCGAAAAATTGGAAAATCGAAAATTGGAAAAATGTAACTTCCAAAAACTGCAGAAAAATTGAATAATTATAAATTAAAAATGAAAAATTAAAAATTGAGAAATTCTAAATCTAGAATTTGAAAACTCGAAAATTTGAAAAATCTAAAAATTATAAGTCGAAAAATTGGAATGTTGAAAATTTGACCTGTCCAAAAATTGAAAAATTTAAAAATTGTAAATATAAAACAAAAAAAAAAACATTGAAAAACTGAAAAATTAAAAACTTAGAAATCGCAAAATTAAAAAGTGAGAAATTGACAAATCGAAATATTGAAAAATTAAGAAACTTAAAATTAAAAATCAAAAAACTTCGAACTCACAAAATTGGAACGAAAAATAGAAAAATTTTGAAAAATCGAAAAATTAAACATTGTGAAATGGATAACTCTAAAAAGTGCAATATCGAAAAATAGATAAATTGAGCAGTTAAAAGTTGACAATAAAAAAAAGTACAAAATCTAAAAATTAAATAAAGAAAAATTGAAAAACCGAAAAAGTGAATAAACGAAAAATTGTATTATTGAAAAATGAAAAAATTGAAAAATTAGGTCGACAAATTAAAAATCTACAAATTGAAAATTGGAAGAATTGAAAAAATGGGAAATCGAAAAATCGAAAAATTCAAAATTTGAAAAATCGGAAAATTTAAAATCGATTAACTGAAAAATTGAAAATACGAAAAATTGTCAATCCAAAAACTTAAAAATCGGACAATGAAACATCGAAAATTTGAAAAAGTGAAAAATTGTAATATTGAGACGTCGAAAAACTGAAGAATTAAAAATCGAGAAACTGCAACGCTGAAAATTTGAAAAACAAAAAAATTGCATGTCGAAAAATAGGAAAAAAATCGGAAAAATGTAACTTTCAAAAACTGCAAAAAAATTGAATAATTATAAATTAAAAATGAAAAATTGTAAATTAAAAATTGTAAAATTAATTAAAATTGAAAAATAAAAAATTGAGAAATTAAAAATCTAGAATTTGAGAACTCGATAATTTGAAAAATCTAAAAATTGCAAGTCAAAAAATTGGAATGTTGAAAATTTGACCTGTCCAAAAATTGAAAAATTTAAAAATTGTAAATATAAAACAAAAAAAAACATTGAAAAACTGAAAAATTAAAAACTTAGAAATCGCAAAATTAAAAAGTGAGAAATTGACAAATCGAAAGATTGAAAAATTAAGAAACTTAAAATTAAAAATCAAAAAAATTCGAACTCACAAAATTGGAACCAAAAATAGAAAAATTTTGAAAAATCGAAAAATTAAACATTGTGAAATGGATAACTCTAAAAAGTGCAATATCGAAAAATAGATAAATTGAGCAGTTAAAAGTTGACAATAAAAAAAAGTACAAAATCTAAAAATTAAATAAAGAAAAATTGAAAAACCGAAAAAGTGAATAAACGAAAAATTGTATTATTGAAAAATGAAAAAATTGAAAAATTAGGTCGACAAATTAAAAATCTACAAATTGAAAATTGGAAGAATTGAAAAAATGGGAAATCGAAAAATCGAAAAATTCAAAATTTGAAAAATCGGAAAATTTAAAATCGATTAACTGAAAAATTGAAAATACGAAAAATTGTCAATCCAAAAACTTAAAAATCGGACAATGAAACATCGAAAATTTGAAAAAGTGAAAAATTGTAATATTGAGACGTCGAAAAACTGAAGAATTAAAAATCGAGAAACTGAAACGCTGAAAATTTGAAAAACAAAAAAATTGCATGTCGAAAAATAGGAAAAAAATTGGAAAAATGTAACTTTCAAAAACTGCAAAAAAATTGAATAATTATAAATTAAAAATGAAAAATTGTAAATTAAAAATTGTAAAATTAATTAAAATTGAAAAATAAAAAATTGAGAAATTAAAAATCTAGAATTTGAGAACTCGATAATTTGAAAAATCTAAAAATTGCAAGTCAAAAAATTGGAATGTTGAAAATTTGACCTGTCCAAAAATTTAAAAATTTAAAAATTGTAAATATAAAACAAAAAAAAACATTGAAAAACTGAAAAATTAAAAACTTAGAAATCGCAAAATTAAAAAGTGAAAAATTGACAAATCGAAAGATTGAAAAATTAAGAAACTTAAAATTAAAAATCAAAAAACTTCGAACTCACAAAATTGGAACCAAAAATAGAAAAATTTTGAAAAATCGAAAAATTAAACATTGTGAAATGGATAACTCTAAAAAGTGCAATATCGAAAAATAGATAAATTGAGCAGTTAAAAGTTGACAATAAAAAAAAGTACAAAATCTAAAAATTAAATAAAGAAAAATTGAAAAACCGAAAAAGTGAATAAACGAAAAATTGTATTATTGAAAAAT